CCCCAAAACCCCAAAACCCCATCAATCAGCTAATATCCAAATAAGTAATACAAGAATTAAATAAATTAACTGGGTCAAGTTATTATAAATATCAATTATCATTTTAATGAAACTAGAATCTAGACAGGCAGGGCCTATTTGGGCAATCATGATCTACGAATTTTTCGGGTCAGCTCTGGTCACTTATGCTTACAACCTAGGCGGGAACAGTGCCTAAGTAAGAGGATTTGCTTACTTCATTGGATTCGTAATCGCCTATCAAATATCAGGTGCATTCTTCAATCCAGCTTTGTCAATTGGGGTTTACTTGGGCGAAAAAAAATGGAAGAACTTTCTCCCTCATTTAATTTCTGTGTTCTTCTAATATGCAGGTGCATTTGCTGGAGTATTGATAAGCTATCTATTGGCGAAATTCTTCTTCTCATATCAAATGGGTCCAGATCTTTCAAGTACCAACTATTATGACACTGATAAGACTCCATACTGGGGAAGATTGATTTTCCCTGAGGTGCTACAGACCTTCACATTCACCTTAGTTTATCTAGTGCTAGCTTGTGATAAAGAAATGGAAAAGCTAGATAGAATTGTGAAAGGACTGATCTTGGCTTTCACTTATTCTGCTTGTCTTTCCATGACCTATAATAGTGGAGCTCAGATGAACCCTGCTCAAGCACTCGCTCAAGGTATTTATGAATACTCAATGAACGACACTTAAGATCTCAAGAATGATCATCTTAAGTTACTTTGGGTTTATGCTATCTTCCCTTATATAGGATCTATTCTTGCAGGTCTCTTCTACATGTTCCACTAGATGGTCGACAAGAATGAAGATATGGAATCAGAAAAGTCAATAAGAAGACCAACTGGCGACTAAGATAACATTTTAGCAAAAAGAAAATTGCCTCAATCAACTGGAAGTCCTAAATCTTCTGTAGGCAGCAAGAGAAGTACTAAATGAGCTTTATTAGATTTATTCTTGATAATCCTCAGCATATCAACTTAATTTTATATGAGAATGCTTGTTTAACTAAATAGTTTATTTCAACTGAGTTTTATAATATTTGATATAATAATTATTTTTAAAGATCTAATATAACATGGAGACAGGGAAATCAACCTCTGAAAAGAAATCTGACCTTATTGTTCCTCTTTTTTATGAATTCTGCGGCAGTGCACTTATGGTATATGCCTACAATCTAACCGACAAAAATTTCTCAGTGAGAGCTTTTGCCCTTTTTATCGGATACATGATAGCTTCTAAGATTTCTGGAGCTCACTTTAACCCTGCGACATCTCTTGCTGTGTATGTAGTAGAACAAAAATACAAAGAGAATATACTTTATCTTGGACTAGTCTCTTTAGCGTAATTCCTAGGAGGATTGGCTGGATTGCTATTCGTCTATCTGTTAATGAAGACTTCAGGATTCTATACACTTTACCCTGGCAATGGACCTTTTAGCCCAAAAGATGATTTCTACATTTACAAAGAAACAGTATTTTATGGGAGAGTATGCTTCTAGGAGATTCTGCAGACATTCACATTCACTTTAGTACTCCTCATTATTAAATATGAGAAGAGCTTATCAAAGGTTAATAACGTTATCAAAGGACTTGCCATCACTCATGCCCAAGCAGCAGTCTATCTAATGACTTACAACTCAGGGGCTTGTCTTAATCCAGTCCTGGGAATTGTTTAAACATTTTACATGATGGGACAATCAGGAAACCCTGACAGATACTGGAATTGCATTTGGGTTTATGTCCTCATGCCAATTATTGGAGCATATGTTGCCTCATTATTTTATGGATTTCATCAAACAGTATCCTAACAAAATGGAGACAAAGCCGGTAAAGACGAGGATGAAGACGAGCAATGAACTACTCAGAAAAAATACCATAACAACCCCTAATTTTATATTCTAATCACAATATTTTCTTATCTTAATACCTGTTTCATCAATCTTCATGTATTTGTTGTCTTGGGGTTTTGGGGTTTTGGGGTTTTGGGG